CTGGGTTGCGTACGTATATGTGGGGCGGAGCTATCAAAATAGGGGCAAGACCCTTTTGGGGTAGGGGCGTGTTTGTTTTGGTGATTTCAAATATCAACATTGGCTACCAGAAATCGCTTACTCTGCCTTTAAGCTTCGCCTTTGTTATAGTTTTGAAAATGCGACCTCTAGTGGCGAAAACTTACATATTGTGCCTTTAAAAGTCATTTCAGTTACATACACTTTGAGGTCATTAATGAAATATAGCAGCATAGCGTTTTAAAACTTTAAAATGTGTCATGTGGGAAGCTAATACTGTACTTCTGTAATGGAAAACACAATAACTACAATCAATGATGACAGAAAACACATGTCAGCATTTCTGCAGTCCATAAAACGTATGTGACCTTCTTTTATATTACAGGCCACGGCGTTTATTAAGAAAGTTGCCCAGTCACGACTCATCCAGGCCTGTTTTTACTGCTACACACACATGACTGGATAATCTCCAGATAAGGTAAAGAGTGAGTTTAGTCTTACAGAATGATAAACCTACAGCAGCTCTCATATCTCATGAGGCCTGGCACACACTCACTGCACCTCCCTAAAACACATTCCATAACTTCACATCAATGAGACACACTCAGCGTCCATTTTTTACTTTTTGCCACACCTGACAACAGCAAGTCAACGGAGATAATAAACCAGCCATAAATTATTAACCGACATAATTTAACAAAGCATTTTTTTTTTACAATTCCTAATCAAGTTACTGCCAGATGGCTAAACTGTTTTATGTAGTTGCCAAAGCTGATTTGTACTTGCATTTAGTGCTCATTGTGTGTCAGTTTTGGATACGATCCACTCCCCTGTATTTGTACTGCGTGAGGATCACGTGTAAATACACACAAGCTGTGCTCGCTTTGGCCTCTCAAACGTTCCAGCCTCACAGAGTGTCAAAGAGCCTCGGCGCTCAACTGGAAGGGTAGAATAATCAAATTACTTCCAGTTATTTAAGCATGTGTGCGGCTCTACAGGCTGCCCTTCTCTGCTGCTGCTGTCGCTTTCACACCAGAGACAGCATCACTGCCATCAGCCCTGCCTGCTAGACCTAGTGTGAACCTCACACACTGATGAAACATGCAGTTTCATACCCTTACTCACTCGCACAACCTCCATCTGGTGTAGATTTATGAAGATTACGAAATAAATGTGCATATTTAATGGCCAGATGATTGCGCACTAGCTAAATTTAACTGTGCTTCAGTGCTCTTTTATCACTTGTCAACAGACCCAGTTTTCTTTAATCGTACAAAAGCATTTCTATTACTTATAGTTTGGATTCATAGTGACACAAGCTAAGGCAGAGTAATATACGTTTATATATTTTTTGCTCTCCAATAAGTACATGAATAGGTCAATTTAAAAAAATTATAATAATAAAAAATAATAATAAATGGAAATAGGAGATGCTTAATTGTAATGACAATTATTTCTTAATCCAAAACATCATCATAAACCAAAAGTTGCAACTGACTTCCATATTGTGACATTTTCATACATCAGCAGAGAGAAGTGAACAATATTGCCGGAAGATATGGGACTCTGATTAAAGATTACAGGGTCAAAAAGTACATCTATTTTTTATTTAAAGTATATATATATCATTTTTTGATTTTATGTTAACTTATTGGTCCTTAAATAGACTTAAAGGGGTCCTATTATGCTCTTTTACAAAGTCTTGATGTTGTTTTGGGGGTGTACTAGAACAGGCTCTCATACTAGGTTGTTCGAAAAACACATTATTTTTCACATATTTTACATTATTACAACACCTCTCTCCCCAGTCTGGCATGAACGGATCGAATAGTTCCTGTATCAAATGAAAGCCCGCCTTCTGAAATACGAAATGTGCTGTGATTGGTTAGCAAGGCCAGTGTGTGTTGTGATTGGCACCACTCGGCGCCTGGTCGGGAAATGTCACGCCCCTTACCATAGCCGCCTGCGAGCTTCAGTGTAAATATTGCGTCAAAATCAAATCAATTTGAGCGCGATTTAAACCCGGAGGATTGTAACCACTCTAAGTTCGTCTGCCTTGGGAAAGCTTGTGATTTCTGTTAAATAAAATATCTCCTTTTGAAGTGGACTTTGAGCTTTGTAACTTTGCAGATCTTTTTTATGTATTTGTGATATCACAAATCCTGGAAAACGTTCGTTGTAGTCCAAACGAGTCGTTCGTTGTAGTTTTTGAAAAGTGATTTCTGTTAAATAAAATATCTCCTTTTGAACTGGGCTTTGAGCTTTGTAACTTCGGAGATCTTTGTTATGCTCAAACAGCAACATTACAGACTAACTAAAGTTGATAAAGTGAAAAAGCATAATAGGACCCCTTTAAATTCCAAAACATATTTTCTTAAAACCCAAACATGTTCTTCAAAGGTTTACTGGCATTCAGTCGATCATGATCTGCTTTATCTTTACTTCTAAGCTGATGCTGTAATTATGCAAGACAGTAGCACTTCCACCACCACATGAAAAACTGTGTTCAGATTCAGTTAAACACTAATGCAGAGACACAGAGGAATATAGAGAGGTAGGTCTACCTTCCCAGATGCCGTTTTCATCAAAGCAAACTCTCTGCCAGCTCCAATCAGGGCTGCTTCCTCATCAAACCCTGTGCCTGAGGACATAAACACACACACGCCGCAAAAGAGACAACACCAAGTTAATTCTTTTCAACACGTACTTCCTCTTAAACACTGATGTGCATGCACAGACGTGTGTGCACTGAAGCACAGCTCTCACTAATGATATGAAGGTCTTTCTCCAGGTCAAAGAGGGAGATGCCACAGGCATGAAGACACTTCCTGGCCAGTTTGAGCTGCAGTTCCTGCTGTAGGGCCGGGTCTGAGCTGGTGGCGTAGATCCGCACCACAAAGCCATCCTAAAAAAAAAAAACCATATACACAAAAACATTAATAATCATCATAAAAACCCTGTCTCTTTCGTCATCTGCGAAATGTAACGTCAATGTTTGGTAGCCAGTAGCAGAATTGAAACAATTATACGGTTATTAAACATTTAAGTTGACCTGCAATAGAAGGTACTTTAGGAGGGTCATGCGAGGCATCTTTTTGATGCTAAAACACTTCTTATCCCAGGTAAATATGCAAAATTGACTACAAGCATACATTTGTAGGTTGTTTCCGCTAAAGAGTATATTAAAAAGAGATGTTTTCAATACATGGTTCTGTTTGTTTGATCATCCCAGTTAGTTTGACATGGTGATCTTGGCTTGACAAAGCAACCAATGGCGTGAGTTTGAGACGGGACTATCTGTTGCAGCAGGGCCAATTCTGTTCAATAGTCTCGATAAGTTACCAACCCAAACCACCCTGTCTAGTGTTTTATTTTTCAGGCAGTCTTCAGTGGCGAATGCTTTTGCCATTTGCAATCTGGGATTCTGCAGCGTCACTCTTTTGCTTACCTCAACTGCAGCTAGGCCTGGGCGATAAAACGGTATCGATATTTATCAACGGTACACCTTCTTCGATAACGATATAAAAATGTTCGATATAGTGCACGATATAGGCACGTGCTATGAGTGACAGCACACACAAACACAAACAATCTCACACAAGAGATGTATAGAAAGCCATGCAAAGTTAAAACAGTTTAAACTTTCAGAAAACACGTTATTCCTTTTCACTGCGTCTCATATGTTCACATGTACATGCAATCTGAGTGAATGGCGCTTCGGCTCTTTGGATTAAGCAATGCATAAATACATGATGCTGTTTTGT